ATTATTATTATTATTATTATTATTATTATTATTATTTAAAGAAACCATGAAATAAGTGACAATATATATTTTTTCCCTATAGAAATTTAATTAACAATAATCTTCGGCGAATAGAAGAAGGCATTTTCACTAACAATGCTAAGTTACATACCCTGTAAGTTAATATTCTAAAAATCAAAGCCACTGAAAACAGTGACGTAGCAAGAGATGGTGCTAAACGCGCACGTTGTGGGGCGAAAGTTCCCGCCAAAACCACACGAATCCCATCATTATAATGGCAATGAATTTATGTTTATTTTGCACCTTCGTAAATAATACAATGTACAATTCTTGGCTTTCACTTAAGTCATCAAAAATTCTCCAACGACTTATATACAACAAAACCAATAAAAAAGCCATTAAGGCGCCGCGAGCTGATAGGAATTAACGCGTGTACGGGCTATTCTAATCAAGTTAGCTAACTATGTTTCGCTCGGTCATTTATCAAATATAAACATTTCTATTTGTCGTAATAATAAATGGATGCTCTGTGTATTCAGCGACGAACACAACAAGGCTKTTCCATAAAACAACTCGTGCATGGTTCGTTAGAATCCGTGTCCATCCTTCTAGTGCTTTCRAATTCTCAGTTAACATAATCACACAGCATTAGTCGCAAAGGCTTTCCAGTTATCGTAATATGGAGAAACATAGAATTTTCCTTACACATTTTAGCATCAAAAGTAATAAAATGAATACGAATTTAGCCCTTTTCCTCGTCATTGCCTCTCTAAGCCTCAAAAAAAGACTCAATTGAATAAATGCTAAGTTAAGCTCAGCTTTCTCTCTTTTTATTAACATGTCTGTAAAGAAAATTGAAAGAAAATAAGATTGAGACAATTGAACCAGGTGCATTCAAAAACCTTATTTCTCTCACAAATGTGTAAGTATATTTGATAGCGTTATACCACACTACACCATACCTTATCACGCGACACACTATCCATTCCACCTTACCAAACCACACTAGGCATCAAACCACACAAACACACCACGGCACACAATACTACACCACGCTAGGCATCACACCACACCCACCTCACTACACAATATTGCACCTCACCTCACCACACTAAGCATCACACCACACAAACACACCACGCCACACAATACTACACCTCACCACACCACGCCACACCAACCAACTACACAATACTCACAACACCACACTAGGCATCACACCACACCCACCTCGCCACACAATACTACACCGCACCACATTGTGACGTCATGAGCACGCAGGTGAATATGYCATGCGCGAGCTTCGAGTGTTAGAGTGAAAGGACAGATGTACACAGAGTGGAGATATCCAGCTTAGTCAAAAAAAAGACGAGGGAAACACACAAACGTTACACACACTTCACTGGCCATCAGACCACACTTAACCACACGTCACCACACGTCACCACACCATATCACACTATTTTCTTATTTTTATGATATAATATATTGACAGAAAATAGGATGGCTGTCTGATTAGTAGTTGAGCAGTTGGTTGATTGTAATTACTGACTTTATAGTACACTCAACAAAATTACTCGACTCTGATTGGTCGAGAGGAGTACAATTATAGCGTTAATTGTACTCCGTAGGAGTAYCGAATTAAGTCGCTATGGCAACACGGCCAAAACAATGTCAAAACAATTATTTTCTATCATTTTGTACTTAAAAAGCATAAATAAAATTTTAAAGCCGTAAGAACTAATCTACTTTATGCATTTCAGTTGCACGATGGACTGAAAATCGGCCGCCAAAAAGACAAAGATGAACGGCGTCGCTTCGCATTTTTTACTGAAATTTTGTTGAGTGAACTATAAACAAAAAATCGCACGATCTTCTCGTACAATTTGGAATTAATAGACACTCGTAAWGTTTTGAAAGTTCTTTAATTGTACTCGCCTAAAGGCTCGTGCAATTACAAGAACTTTCAAAACATTACTCGTGTCTATTAATTTCCAAATTGTACTCGAGATCGTGCGATTTCCTATACATATTGTTTGCTTTCCATCATTACCCAGGGAATTGGATGGTAACAAACTTACGGATCTCGACAACAGAACGTTTCTCAATTTACGATCCCTTTTCTCACTGTRAGTTTACATATAGCTTCCAGAACAATCGTGTGTGTATACTACGATGCTAAAACGATTGAAGAAATAAAAAACGCGCGCTTATGTTGAGAGAAGTTTTAATATGCGAATTCAATCTCGTACAGTGTCAAAACGCTCGATTCCGTCACAGGTAACCCAAGCTAGGTTTCTGTGGTGTCATATTATAAGGAAATATATGGCGATAAAATTGTCAAAATGTGAAATAAAGTAACTCAAGGTTGCGTGCGCATCCAACTTGGCGGCCCACAAAACTGTAAAACGCGAATTCAGTAAAATCGAGAAGACAGTTTCATATTTAAAGAGGAGAATAATCGATTTTATTATTTCTTAACGAAAAAAGCTCATAGCAATGCATGATAATGCTCGTGTTCTGGTATCGTGGCCCGTCAAGTTCCTTAAATTTGGATGCGCACGCAACCTTGAGAAAATGGTCTATTTGTGTTATAATATTGAAAGAAAAAARTTGTTCTTATGATGCAGGTCACTGAGCAGAAATCGTCTTAAATTTCTACCCGATGGGTTTTTTACTGGTCTAACTCATCTGACAACCCTGCAAGTARCATACAGTCAATTCAAAAAATATTGTCGTCGACCATCTGAAGCCTACGMGACTGAACCGACAGGAACTCTGGGCAGCAATCATTGAAGCCGAGTTGACTCCATTATTTTATCTGACTAGTTATRCCTGGTTTACAGCACGAACCTTCGTAGGCGAGCGGGAAGTGTTGAAGGAGACGTTTTTTTAATGCCTTCATATTTTCGAAATTGCGAACTGAATCATAACTACTTTGTTTTTCTTTCCCTAAACCCAAAGACATGCATTTGATGGATTGTTTCTCGCCATTATTATCTTATTAATAGCGGGAACAATTAATTCAGAACGAATATTTAACCGCTTCAGTGATTTTTACCCATATTCCTAGCCTTTCGGTCCGGTCGCTTAGGCTTGAACAACGTTTTTTGAATTGMCTGTATACGCCTATTACAACTAATCCAAAAAACGTTATCTCGCACTAAGACGTCAATGCAATAGGCGAATGCCGAAAAGCGATAGGAGATAGGTCATTCCAAGATCTAAGAATAGCTGGAATGACTTGTGTTTCTGCTTCTTATTCTCGTCAAGAGCATGGACCTTAGTGTCGAGACTGATTCAAAATCATTTTTCAGTGTCAGTTATTTATGAAATTCACTCAGTATAAGATCAGTGACAGATTGTGGCGATTCTACTTTCTTGTAAAATCCAGAATTTAGAATCTGAAGATGGAGATGACTATATCTGACCATATATATTATTTTTTTATTTATTTTGATAGGGTAATATATGAAAATGAATTTACCACCATTCCACGTTTTGATGAAGGCCATTTAAATAATTTGTAAGTAACGCTATAACTGAACCAAACTAGATACGTCATCCACTTCATCAACCAATGCAGAAATAGTGCTCAGGGTTAGTAAATCTGTGAGTGAACCGTGTCCTGACTTAGATCAGTCCAGAGGTTGTTTCAGGGTTCTATATCTGTGAGTTAGCCATGCCCTGACTTACATCGGCCCAGAGGTTGCTTCAGGGTTCGATCTGTGAGTTAGCCATGCCCTGACTTAGATCAGCCCAGAGGTTATTTCAGAGTTCAATCTGTGAGTCAGC